GTTTCTTCCACACATGTGCAAATTTTTCCACCCATCAGTCAAGCACATGCAGAGAGCTAATGTGATCTCTTCTATTGCACTCTTCCTTTTACTAGTAGTACCTCCCTGTTATGATTATGGCGGGCACTGTGCCTGACACAATGGAGAACACAGCCTCAGTCTAGGAAAAGGATAATTTCCTTCATTTATCACCCAGTAAATTCAGCACAATGAGCTGAAAAATGCTAGTGGTGGGCAACTTGACAACCGCTTCCACTGCTTATCAAGTCTTCCCCTGTGGCAATAATGCCACTGATATTTGAAGCCTTTCGCAAATTATAAAAATTACAATTCTTACTCACTGAGCTGAGTTGGGGGTAGGGGAGACATGGGAGCAGCCTTAGCTAAGACCACAAATTTGCTCTATTTTTTACCTGAATCTCTAGCAGCTTTCCCAATAACTAATAATTATGAATTATTAGTTTTCAATCAACCTTCAGAGCTGTAAAATTGGTATTTTTGTCCATTTGCACGCTTCACTTAATTGTGCTAATACATTTTCCTAATGTGTCCATGTGTAACAACATATTGCAAATGGAAAGACTATATATTAGAATTAAATTTATTTGTTTTTGTTTTCCATTTTTTAAAAAAAATGTGTTTTATTGATTTTTCACAGAGAGGAAGGGAGAGAGACAGAGAGCTAGAAACATCGATGAGAGAGAAATATCAATCAGCTGCCTCCTGCACACCTCCTACTGGGGATGTGCCTGCAACCAAAGTACATGCCCTTGACCAGAATCAAGCCTGAGCCCCTGGAGTCCGCAGGCCGACGCTCTACCCACTGAGCCAAACCGATTAGGGCTTGTTTTCCATTTTTAAAAATCATCATTATTTCAGTTGCAAATTACAATTTACTTAGTTACTCAATTTTATATTTGTTCCCATTGAAATCTCATAGCTTGACATATAAAACATTGCCTTCAATTTCAAACTGCTATGTTAGAATGTGATAAGATGCAAATTATGAATTAAGATAATTATCTTCAGAGTATTCAAATTAGTGCATTAAAGGAACATTGATTAAAAAGGCAAGTGAATTAATTGGAAAATGTATTTATTGATTTTTACAGAGAGAAAGGGAGAGGTATAGAGAGTTAGAAACATCGATGAGAGAGAAACATTGTTCAGCTGCCTCCTGCACATTCCCCCACTGGAGATGTGCCCACAACCAAGGTACATGCCCTTGACTGGAATCGAACCCCGGACCTTTCAGTCCCCAGGCTGATGCTCTATCCACTGAATCAAACCGGTTAGGGCTATAATTCCTTTTTCAATGATACAAAATGGTTACCTCTGTATGGAAATGAAGAACAGCTTAAAAGTTTATACATTTTTATATTAAGCACTGGAGGCCTGGTGCATGAAATTCATGCACAGGTGGGGTGTTTCTCAGTCCAGCCTGCACCCTCTCCAATCTGGGACCTCTCAGGATTATGTTCGACTGCCAGTTCAGGCCCAATCCCACAGGGCCTATACTGGCAGTCGGACATTCCTCTCACAATCTGGCTCCTAACCATTTGCCCGCCTGCCTAACTGATTTCCCCTAACCACTCTGCCTGCCATCCTAATATCCCCCTCACAGCTCCCCTGCTAGCCTGATTGACACCTAACTGCTCCCCTGCCAGCATGATTATCCCCAACTGTATTCCCTGCAGGGCTGAGGGGACTTGGGGACTGAGGCTGGAATAGGCAGGGCTGAGGGGACTGGGGGACTGAGATTGGATGAGGCAGGGGAAGGGGACTGGGGGACTCCAACTGGATGAGGCAGGGCTGGGGGACTGGGGGACTCTGGCTGGGTGAGGTGGGGCTGAGGGGGCTGGGGGACTTCAGCTGGATAGGCAGGGCTGAGGGTACTGGGTGCCGCCATCTTGTGAGGGCGTGAAGGTCAATTAGCATATTCCCGCTTTCTTGGCTGTGGGCACCCCCATCTTTGTAAGGGTGTGATGTTCAATTAGCATGTTCCCTCTTTATTAGATAGGATTTGCAATTTCCATCCATGAAATACCTGTCTATGACTTTTTATTATTTGAGTTGTTTGTCTTGTCCTTATTGACTGTTGGTGTTTTTAAAACACGTTCTGTATTCTGTTCTTTTTATTTATGCTGTTTATTGCAAATATCTTTTCCAAGTTTGTGATATTTCCTTTTTACTTCCTTCCTGATTCTTTAAGGATAGATATTTAAAATTTTAACACAGTCAAATTTATTAATGTTTCTTTATGACTCATGATTTTATATTAAAAATATTTTACTAAATATATTTGTATTTTTTCTAAACCTTTCTAAATTGTGTTTCTTGGATTTTAATTTTTAATTCATCTACAATTGCATTTTATATATGGTATGGGATAGGGAACAAATTAAAAAAAATTTTGTGTGATAAAAAAATGGTTATACATTTTGAAACTTTTATCCAAAAGATGTTTATAAATTCAGTTGTAAATAAAATCATGGTGATGCAAAGTACAGCATACACAGAGAATATAGTCAACAATATTCTAATAACCATGCATGGTGTCAGGAGGGTACCAGACCCATTGGGGTGTTCAACTCAAAAGGTATAGATGTGCCCAATCAACATGCTGTACGCCTGAAACCAAAACAATATTGGATATCAATTGTAACTGGCAAATCTTTTTTTAAAGTTGCTCAAAAATTATTCTCATTGCTTATTATTACTGGAAAGTGCATCCAAATTCTCAACATACAAATTAAAGCTGAAATAAAAATAATCTAATCGAATAAAAGAGAATGAATATTGACCAGCCAATCAGAATGACTATATGCAAATTAACCCAA